CAGTGCTAAAAGTTTTTTGGGTTTATTTTTAATGAAACCATTTGAAAACAATACCCTACCACGCATCTTAGAACATGAGACAGAAATCACACATGCACACAGGAACTCTTTCTTTCTTTCTTCAATTTAATTGAAGTTACTTAGAAAAATAATCAGGCTTGAATGGCTTTTTTCAAGGAAAGATTCATGAGCAGTTCACACATTTGTTGGCAATGTATAATTTAGCTTTTTTTTTTTTTACTTTTTATTAACAGTATACGTAGGTATGAGGAGATACTTTTCTACAACAAGCCTTCTACTGCATACAAATAGGTAAAAAAAAAAAAATCAAACCCCACATTGATGTTAAATTATATGTACACATTGTATTGTGCATGCATGTAAGAAAATAACACTCTCTGTAACAAGAGTAATAGTAAGGACAGTCCCTTTTTTGTACCTGAAAAGTGCAGCAGACTACAGTTAAAACACCATGGGTCAATTGACTTCTGAAAGCATTTTGCTTGTGGTTGACTTTTCTGTTGCAATGTAGTAGGCTTGGTGAACCGGTCTGAAAAGGTCCTTAAGTTTGGACAAATTTTATATGGAGGCTGAAGTATGGAGGATTTCTGGAATTCACTGAAATAAAATAGGAAATGTCCGCTAGGTTCACATGAAATGGCTATAGTTTGGAGCCTAAAGCTTACAGGCTTGGATCCATGGTAGACAAACTACTCAAGTATTGTTGGTAACTAGCTGAGGTTGAAGACATGAACTTAAATCACATCTGGTATGTGCCGCTTGTGTAGCGTTTTGTACTCTAATTTAGCCAACTTCTTGTTATTCGGCTGTGGCTACTTTGGCTCGCCATTGGGAGGAACCTATATTCTGTAAAGTTCTCATTGGTTTCAAGGACAACGATTGGCTGGAATCACTAGCAGTGTGCTAGACTGCTCTGATCCTGCAGCTACATTAGCTCTAGTGTTACTGGTATATCTGGTGACAACTAGTAGGCATTATTTTAGAAGGCTCCTGAAGACACAAAGTGGTGGTCAGGCACGCTCCAGCTACCCAACAGTCCTGCTCAGCTGTGCCACATAGGTGATTTGTATCCAGGAATGGATTTCAACCTTTTTGCTTCAGCTGAGCACACTGTGGAAGGATAGGACAGGAGAGAAAGTGTTCTTCAGCATGTCTTCTTGCTGGAGAGGGCAGTGGCTGCAAAGTGGTGCCTTTTTAAGATATAGAAATGTAACTCTACATATTTCGTATGGGGCCTTGTGGAGAGGAGGGAAATCTTCTGGCTCAGTCAAAATGATACATCTAGTAGTCTTAAAAAGAAGATGAACATTTCCGGTCCCTCTCTCTCTTTGAGACCTAAAAAGGGTTTGGGGATTAGCATGCAGGACACGATCATAGCCAAAACTGTCGGTTGCTGTATGGATGTATAGAAGTGTGTATGTGTTAGTAAATAAATACGTAACCACTGAGCTACAGAATACAAAATAGGGCACGCTGGCAGGGCACACTCTGTGACAGGCACTTACAACAGCTCCATATGCCCTGAATGAGACAACTGCTCTGAAGTAAAATATTAGTCAGCAATGAAAAGCCATTTAAGAATTTAAAAAATCTGATTAGACAGTGTGTAGCCTTCCTGTCCTTCCTCCCTCCCAGTGGGATCTGGGCCATTCCATTCATCCCAGAACGGAATGAGAGATGTATTTTTACAGTGATAACAAGGATTTGGGCATTTTCCTTTTTTTAAGGGCAAATTTCTATGGTGAAAGTGCTTGAGTTGCTGCTGGTTATGCTACTTTTCTTTCTTCGGTTAATAATGACTATAGGGTTCTCCACAGCCAACAAGATTCAGGGGACCATATCTTGAGCCACAGTAAACCAGTGTAGTTCCAGGATCTGGCCCAAAAACACAGAGCTGTTTTATTTGACCACTCCCGTGACTGTTTGAACGGTGGGGATTCGATCATTGTGAGATCTGGACACCAACAACTTCACAGGCACCAATGTTGCATTTTTCAAAGTGGCTTCTGGCTCCTAACTTGCTTTTGAAAATGGGATGTTGGCTCCCAGATTACTTTGGAAAGTTTTTCTTTCCTGGACCAATACAGGCTTGCAAAATCAAAAGCAACCTTTGACTTTGAAAATCTGCACTTGTTCTGGTGATGGCAATGAAAATGTCATTTTGAGACCTGAAAAGCACTTTGCCAACACCATATTATTGAGACAAACTCCTACATCCCATTTTTTAGCACAACAAAAATAAATCAATGCAGTGCTTTGCAGCTTTCAATTAGCTTACCATGCTGCCTCCCCAGGTCAAGATAGTTTGGTAGGAGATGCATAACATAAAAAAAGTCACTCTCACTGCCACCTGGGTTGTGCATCCCACATACATCAAAATAAAATTAAACAGTTGGATAAATCTGTACTTTTGCTCACTGAGCTTGCTAATATCCTTGATTAAAACACCTTATCTTTCTTTATTTCCAGTGAATAAATTATCCATGCTTGTTTATTCAAAGCAATCTCTAGGTAATCTACTGTTCTTATTACAATATGACATCTCAACAAATTTTATATACAGAGCAACTGCTACTGACACATTCACCTGACATAAAATGTTCTCATTTGATACTTAACTCAGGCATATTATTAACCCATTGGAAAGCAGAAACTCAGTCACCAATGGCAAACTAATGACTAATAAATATAAGACACGAGACACTAGCCCAGGAAGAAAAAGGCATCACACCAATGTATTTGAAGATTAAGGGACTGCTTTATTGCCTCATAAAGGCAGAGATCAACAGGAAGGTGATCTTTTGACTTTTTCAGATTATATGCATTGGTGCTATGTATGAACACATTTTGGTCGGTATTTCCTGTTGTGACCAGTGATATTTATTTATGGGTGGGGGGCAGGGGAAAGGGAAAGAGATACAAACTGAGATCCTGTAGGGGGCCTAATTATCAGAAAGTGATAACCATGAGCCCTCTTAGCTGAAGCCTTGTATTAAAGGGGCTCATGTTGAACAATCAAACTCTCTAGCCACTTCTGAAGCCTTTTTGGCCCAGACTTTACTTGCACATAACATGCACAAATCCTCTTCTCTCTTCATTGGGAAGACAGGCTTGGAAATGCCAAGCACAGGAAATCAAGTTGTGTTGTCCAGATCAAAATTTATGGTTTCTCTCTCCAAGGGATATACTCACATTTTTCAGTCTCAGATTTTAAATATCCTGGATCTATCAAAACCTGTTCTATCCTTTCCCTTTCAGGGATAAAAAGGTAACTTTACATTTATGATTTAAGTGCAAAATCATCCTCTGAAAAAACTATTTCTACCAGTGTTTCCAAGATGTGATATGGATTAAACAACCTCATTGTTTTAAAATTTCTGATAGGATATTTATCTGTGTGAAAAGCTAATGAAAGAGTTAATGACCAGAGACAAGCACAGCAGAAGAAAGCACAAAGTCAGATTCCTTTTGTCCAAATATTATCATATTTCTGCTGCTAAAGTGAAACCTACCAAGAGACCGTGTTTTAAATAAGTATAAATAACATTAATTAGAATTTGAGGAATGCAAGATAAACGAAATTCACCAGAACACAATTAACATTTTAAACAGTGTAGCAGTATTACTCATTTCTAAAGCTAGATCGTCAAAATCCTGTCACCCTGCAAGAGAGCTGTCCTTTCTTACAGATGATTTAAATAATTTCAACTGTGCTGCTCGCAGCATCATTCAAAAAAGAAAATATTAATTTACAAAATAACCCATTCTTCATATTTATTATGACAAATAAAAATCTTAAATAAAAGAGGCTCTCTTTCCTTTCTCTCTCCCCCTCACTCCAATTTCAGGTAGCTTGGCACTGAGTAATTGAACATTAGAAAATCAAGTTTGTAGACTTCATACAGCTGTGTTTGGTGCTCGGAGCTGATATTCTGGAAGAACTCTGTGGTCATTTCATCAGTAGTTCTCGTAGACTTTGCATAGGTGGGGAACTTCAGGTAACTGCCTACTCCTGCAAGCTGAAGGATGTAATTGGAATCCTCTTCGAGTGTCTCGTATTTTCCTATGAGGTCATAATGGATATGGCAAGGGTGGCAGAGGGAGTAGACTGTTTGCCAGTGCTCATTGAAAGGCTCTTCTTTTTGGGTGTGTGGATCAATGAGATATGCCACAAACTCTTCAAATTTCACATCGTCGCCTTTACGCAGAGCCTCCTGGGTGGCGTTTTTCCTTTGGCGCCTCACAATTTTCGTGCCGTATCTCTTGTGAAAGGATGTGTTGTACTTCTGGGTGAACTTGTTCCTGTAGGCAGACACCAGTCTTTCGAAAGGCTCGCGAACAAACAGGAACTTCATGTAATTTTTTAAACGATGATTGATCTCTGGAATGCTGTACTGGTTGAGGGTCTTCAGGTTTGAGGACACATGGGCTTCATTGGCTGGTATCTCCATAGGATCGCTATATTTGCCCCTGCCTGTCAAAACCATCATGACTCTCTTCCAGTTTGTACAGGCCACTTTGGGTACGTAGCAATAGATCATTTCATGATCCTCATCTACCACCAAATGTTTGAGGTCGTTGGGTGTCAGCACACGGCGTTTCCTACTAGACACGCTGTTGGCGTGGCATGTGTCTGTGACTTGGTCCCTCCTAATCTGATGAAGAATTGCTGTGTTAGACAACTCCAACTGCAAAGAAAACAAACACACACATGCATATGTCAGGAAGCACTGGAAACACTTGCTGGCATCTAACAGATGAGGTAAATCCTCACATATGCAAGTACAGGAAAACAGACTATTGGCAGTAAAGTATTTAAAAGACATGATTGTTTGGCTGTACGTAGTAACATTCAGTTTAGGTAACCTTTTTGCTACTAAACTTCTGGTTTAAGATTTTGGCTGCGACTTGTGCAGGGTTCCCCTTTGGTAGCAACTTTGTTTATAACATACTTTTCCTGAAATGTCACTCTTTCTTAGTTGCAGAAAAGGAATCTCTCTCTACCACTGTGATCACACTCATTACTGAACTACCCAGCTTGACCTTTGTACGGAGACAGGGCAGACGAACACAGCTTTCAGAAGGTTTGTCAGAATGAACACAGTATGTGCTGTTGTTGCTGATGTCTCTCATGCTACAAGATTAATAATTTCAACTTGTTTCTTGGCTATGACCTTGTCAGAAAAAAAATAGAGTCCCTGGAGATTTCTGCCGTTCCTTGAAGAAAACAGTCACTCAGCAGTGATTCTGAGAATCCATCTCTAAATTCCTCTCTATTAAAGACCACTTAGTAGGTGAAGTGTGTGGCCTTTTAACATACTAAGCCCTTATTGCTTGGCCATTACCCTGTATTATTTTGTTAAGTGTTTCTTAATTTTTAGCTATTGTGGACTGGTGCTGGGGCTAGCTAACTCAAATGGTTCTGTATGGCTGGCTTGCTTATTTGCTTGCTGCTTTTCTTTTTTTAATTTCTAAGTCAACAAATTCAAATAGGTTTACCAGAATTAATTAATTCATCTTCCTTACCCCTCTACTAAGGTATGCATTAATAATCCCATGACAGATAGGGGAAATGGCCCCTTTTTGATTAGTTTCAAAAGTGCTGAAACTCTCTCTTATGTGCCCAAATCTATTTTGGCAGTGAATGGGAGGTCAGAACCTACAGGGTACTTCTGACAATCCCACCTACAGATATTAAGTCCTAGTCTTTGAACATATTGACACTGGCTTAATTAAATCAGTTTAAACTAACTTGGAACTAGTGCAAATCCCCATGTGGACACACACTGTTTGGTTTCAGAATAGTCACTGTCTGAAATACTGTAGCTTAAATTTGTTCCTAGTCCATTTAAATTGATATATGCAAACTGAAAATGGTGTGTATGGCCTGTGGTAAAGGTTAATAATGGATTTAAAAATCATGCCTTGATTTATGCTGATGCAGCAATGAATGTTGTTGTTTTTTGTAAGTTTTACAAAGCTTTGTGTTTGTATAAAAACTTCAGTTTCTGGAATCATGTAAGAATATCAAGTTTGATAAAGAAAAAGTACCTAGCCCATAGGTTTGTGGAGGAAAGTTTGAAAAATAGGAGCCAGAAGCACCCTATAGCTTTAAAAAAATTGCATCAAGTCACTTCTAAAAGTTTGTTTTGATTGCCTGGGGGTGACACTGCCATAGACAAGCCTTAAGTGTGAAGCTGTCCCCTGCGCACAGGGCCAGCACAAAGTCTGTGCTTCCCTTAGGAACTTGTTCATGGGATACTTAGCGTAAGCTTTATTTAGATGGTAGTAAGCATTGCCATGCTGTATTAAACATTAGAATGTGTTCTGAGCAGTTGCACAATTTAGAAAAGCTGGATGTATACAAGTCCATGGGGCAGGATGCAATGCATCTGAGGGTACTGAGGGAGCTGGCTGACATGACTGCAGAGCTGCTGCTGACCATTATCTTTGAAAACTCATAGTGATTGGGGGAGGTCCAAAACAATTAAAAAAGGGAAAATATAGTGCCCATCTTTAAGAAAAGGAAGAAAGTGGATCCAGGGAACTACAGACCAGTCAGCCTCACCTCAGTCCCTGGAAAAATCATGGAGCAGGCCCTCAAAGAATCCATTTCTAAGCAGTTGAAAGAGAAGAAAGTGATCAGGAACAGCCCACATGGATTCACCAATGGCCCTGGGGGGCTTCAAGAGGAGGTTAGATAAGCATCTATCTGGGGTCATCTGACCCCAGCTCTCTTTCCTGCCTATGCAGGGGGTCGGACTCGATGATCTATTGAGGTCCCTTCCGACCCTAACATCTATGAATCTCTGAAAGTCATGCCTGACTAACCTGATGGCCTTCTATGGTGAGATGACTGGCTCTGTGGATGCGGGGAAAGCAGTGGACATGATATACCTTGACTTTAGCAAGGCTTTTTATATGGTCTCCCACAACATTCTTGCAAGCAAGTTAAAGGAAGTACGGGTTGAATGAATGGAAGAAGGATAGAATGTAAGGTGGATAGAAAGCTAGCTGGATTGTCAGGCTCCATGGATAGTGATCGACGGCCCAAAGTCTAGTTGGCAGCTGGTATCCAGTGGAGTGCCCCAGGTGTTGGTCCTGGGGCTGGCTTAGTTCAATATTTTCATTAACAGTCTGGAAGATGGGATGGAGTGCACCCTCAGCAAGCTCACAGATGACACCAAGCTGGGGGGAGTAGTAGATATGCTGGAGGGTAGTGCTAGGATTCAGAGTGACCTAGACAAATTGGAGGATCGGGCCAAAAGAAATCTCATGAGATTCAACAAGGACAAGTGCAGAGTCCTGCACTTAGGATGGAAGAATGCCATGCACTGTTGCAGGCGTGGGACCAACTGGCTAAGTAGCAGCTCTGCAGAAAAGGACATGGGGGTTATAATGGACAATAAGATGGATACGAGTCAACAGCATGTCCTTGTTTCCAAGAAGGTTAACAGCATACTTAGCTTCATTAGTGGAAGCATTACCAGCAGATCGAGGGAAGTACTACAGAAAGGATGTGGACAAGTTGGACAGAGTCCAGCTTGAGGGCAATGAAAGTGGTTCAGGGGCTGGGGCACATTACTTCTGAGGAGAGGCTGAGAGAATTGGGCTTATTTAGTCTGGAGAAGAGAAGACAGAGAGGGGATTTGATAGCAGCCTTCAACTACCTGAAGGGAGGTTCCAAAGAGGATGGAGCTGAACTGTTCTCCGTGGTGGCAGATGACAGAACAAGAAGCAACGGTCTCAACTTGCAGCAAGGGAAGTTTAGGTTGGATATGAGGAAAAACTTTCACTTGGAGGGTGGTGAAGCACTGGAATGGGTTACCTAGAGAGATGAAATCTTCATCCTTGGAGCTTTTTAAGCCCTGGCTTGACAAAGCCCTGGCTAGAATGATCTAGTTGGGGATGGTTCAGCTTTGAGCAGGAGGTTGGACTAGATGATTTCCCAAGGTCCCTTCCAACCCTAATTTTCTATGATTCTATAATGCTTACCACAGTCTCTAACATGATCTTATGCACATGACTGTGATAATCATGTGCTGATTGTCAATCCTAGCCCCTGCATCACTCTAGAGCAGGGGTGGCCAACCCATGGCTCCAGAGCCACATGCAGCTTTTCGGAAGTTAATATGTATCTCCTTGAATCTTTGTACAAGCACACGGTGACCAGTTTCCATAGCCGTTACATCACAACACGCAATGTGACTGCTCACAGCGAGCACATTACTCAGTTTGGACTCCAGAGCCACAGGTTGGCCACCCCTGCTCTAGAGACTTGAACCCACTCTTGCGTGATGCTAGCGCTGGGACTGACAATGGAGGCTTGGTATAGTGGGGCCGGGGAGATCCTTGGCAGATGTGGCTGGGGGAGGACCAAAAAATGTGAAGCAGCCCAATAACAGCTGGACACGTTACTTAATATGATCTGGAGATGCTACTCACACAAAAAGTCCTAATTTTGTTCCAATGTGATCATGCTTAAGTGCAATTACTGCATCTGTGTAATGTGCAATAAGGCTCTAAGCAGTGAATATGCCTTGTGTTGGCTCCTTGCCTAGGTGGGAATTTGTATGCAGCCGTACTGTGACTTCACTCACTGTGCTGCTGCAGTTCAGGGTCTGAAGACACAAGTGTAACACAAATTCTCTCCCCCTCTTCCCTTGCCTTTTTCAGTCTTTTCCTCATCCCTTTGGCATAGTCATCAGCAAGATGCTAGGCTAATAATAAACACCTAATGGCCTTGCATGATCAGCTTCGACATTCTGGATCACTTCTTCTGTGTGGCAATCTTCTGAATGTTTGCCAACCCCATGTAAACTGCAGTTTTATCTTGCAGTGCTGGAAGCCGCCTGCAATATGAGCTTCACATTTCCTATGGAATTTGACTGGTAGGGAGTCTGTAAGTAAGATATTGACATGCTGTTGTCAGGAACTAGGCAGCAATTTAAAGAAAATCTTTCTCTTGCAATTGTTTTTGTTCATATATTCTACATCTAATATTTGTGCTCTCCTCATAGCTATAGGACCAGCACAAATTCATTAAATTAATTGGACTTGCACCAGCGAGTTAATTTTGCACAGAAGGCACAGAAAAAGCATCTGTACTGAAGAGATGGATGTACGAGGGCCCAATCCTACTGCTCTTGTCGTCAACAGAACAGTCAGTTCCTACTGATGTCAGGAGGAGCAGAACAGGACCCAACATGCATTATTTTACTTCCAAATTCATAAACGCTTTTAAAGTTCTTTTTAGTTACTAACTACAGTTAGTAAACATGGTGTGCATCTTTTTTCTTACAGTGCTGTTCTTCACAGAAGTAAGTGGATGAAATACTTTGTTCTATGTTAGACAAGAGGTCAGCCTAGATAACTGAATGATCACTCTTGCACTGACCAATATATGACTGAATTGCTGCAGAGATATACTCTGCTCTGTCATATATTTATAGTCTGTTTTTTCCTTTTTGTAGATCCACACATTAGCAGTAATGGGAGTATCAAGCATCTGTGGAGAGGAGAATATAGTCTATTCAGTTTACAACCGAAAGCTGGGTTGCAGAACACTAAATTCACATATTAGGGGATAGGCACATTCCAAATTTAGTCTTGTCTACAATATAAATGATAGGAAGAAATGGCACAGGAGTAGCGAATATACACAAACATGTCAGCCTATATTGCTTTTGGTGGCTTGCTGTACATAGAATGTAATGAGGACCACTAGAGGGCTCACAAACTATTTAATAGGATGCTAACTAATTCCTATCTACTTCCGTACTTGAATTTCAGCCAGCCTGACAGTTTGGTAGTCATTCAATAGCACATAGGAGGCCTGGGTTTGAAAGCTTCCCTCTGTACTAATAAGTTAGGCTTATTGGGGGGAAAAAAGCTGTTGCAAGGTAATTCTACTGCACTGAAATCCCTACCTTACACGATCGGTGAAGTATCTGCACTGTGGTGTGTGTAGCATAACAATGCAGACTGGCCTCTCTACTAGTAAAGACTGGCCTACATAGTTAAGGAACATATTTAAGGGAGCTTAGTCACTTGCTTCCTAGCCAGAAGGAAAGCACCCTGCTAGCATTCATCTAGTGATAAGAGGAGATTATGGTCCTCAGCCTGAGGCAGTGGGAGATACTGAAGGAGTCTTTCTGTGCAGGCAAGAAGTTAGTTAAAGCATCAGTGAGCCTGTGGCTGGAGTTTCTGGGGAGATGCTAAACCCTCCACTGCCAGCTTGAGCTACATATTACATGTAGCAATTTGCCCCCCTGGCCCAAGATAACGCCCACTGCTTTTCTAACCTATGTGCCCTGATTCTTTAATGTTGAAAATGCTTATTTTGAAACAGAGTCCTTGTCTCTCCTACTGCCACTACCCAATGCCAGTATTTCAGGCCCTGTTAGTGACCTTAAGTCACTTTTCAACTCTATTGGCTCAAAGCAGAGGGGAAAAATGCATCTGTGAGAAGGCAACTGCACATACTTCACCTATGTGGACCCACAAAGCTCTTTCTAAATCTGTTTAGTCTCATTTTGAGACATGCTTGTGACTCTTAATGGGAGAGGGAATACCCTGCAAATCTGAACTATTATGTCCTGTGCTGAAACAACAAAGTGATAGATGCCTTTGAAATGCTCTGGACAGAGTGAGGGGCAAATCAAACAGCTAGGAACTAATTTTCCCCCTGACACATCTTTAGTAGGAGATGCTTAAGTGCAGCTGATAGGGATAGTCTGGAACCTCCTGTTAAATTTGCTCAATTTACAACTATAGGTGTTCACCATGGCCCACATTCAGGAAAGCTTTTCAGTAAATGCTTCAATCTGTTCTTGTTTAGGATAATATTTAAACAAGTGTCTAAGTTGTACTAGCATCAATGGGAAGGAAGAAAAATAGTTACACGTGCTTCAGGTTATCCTAGATTATGCTTTCCTGAATCTGGCACTGAAAGGTTCAGGAAACACATTCATAGATTCATAGATGTTAGGGTCGGAAGGGACCTCAATAGATCATCAAGTCCGACCCCCTGCATGGGCAGGAAAGAGT